ACTAGGAATGGAATCCAAGGCTACAGGTAGTATTCTTGTACAGACAGCCATTGGAGTCTCCTGTCAAGCTGTGGGGAATGTTTCGTTTGCCTTCAAAGGTTCTGGTGGGACAGATTGGTTTCTAGCTGAGGATGTGGCTGCTGTCCGCAACTTGGTTACTCCTTCCGTCAAAATTGATTGGAAGGAATGGATTGAGCAACATTCAGAATTTTCTGATGTTCTCATTTCTGAAACTACTCTGGGATAGGCCAAAGTCATTATTGGGATTGATAATGAAGTTTTGATGTTGGCTAAGCCAGGAACCACTTGCATGCGTGGGAAGGTCCTGGCCTACCAAACCCCTCTAGGCTGGACAGTCTCTGGCTGTGTTAGTAATGAGGATGAGGAGCTGGTCAATGCTGCCCCTTTGTTTTTGTCTTGGGAGTACCCTCAAGAGGGTCAAGCCTTGCTGGATGAATTCAGGAGATTCAATTCTCTGGAGGAAGTAGGCATATAGGTAAGATCCTCTGGTCTCCTCTATGATCAAGAGAAGCAGCTCATAGAGCTCGAGAAAGATGTCCAGAAAGTTTCAATGCTTTGGAAGCCCTCCAAGGATCCCCCTGAGTCACTTGGGCAAGCTGTGAGGCGAGCCAGAAGTATGGCTCATCGTTTAAGTAGAAACCCCCGTTTGTTAGATACTGTCCGGAAGGGTTTTGAGGAGGATCTTCGCAAAGGATGCATTTCAGAGCTCTCTCAACTTCAAAAGAAAGAACTTCTGAGTTCTGATTCCCACTGGGTATTGCCATGGATGATTATCACTAATCCTGACAAACCCAATTGTCCTCGCAGAGTGCTTGATGCAGCTGCACAAAATGAGGGAATCTCATTCAATATGATGTTGAGAAAAGGGCCACAGGTTCAACCCACAGTGGCTGGGGTTCTATTGCATTTTTGTCTGAAAAAAAGTTGTTATTAATGCTGATGTGTCTGAGATGTTCCCTCAGATTCTTGTCCAACCTGAAGATAGGTCAAAGTTGATGTTTGTTTTCAAAGACCCTGAATAGGGGGAGCGCTGGTATGTTAATAACAGGCATATCTTTGGTGCCACCTGCTCCCCTGCTATTGCAAATTACTGTGTTAGAAGGGTTGGCAAGCTGGAAAGTCTGGAGGGATCCTCTCTGCGTTGGATTACCCAGCAATGTGTTTATGTTGATGATTTGTATGCTGGTTTTGATTCGGTGGCTGAGGCCACTGATATGGTTAATTGGATTGACAAAGCCAAGGCCAAGTATGGGTTTGTCATGACCAAGTGGAAGTCCAACTTCCCCAAGGTCTTGGCAGGCATCCCTGAAGAGCACCAGGACAAGTCAAGCAAGGTAGTTGGGGAGACAAAAGTCTCTAAAGCCTTGGGTCTCCTTTGGGACCCTGAAACCAATTTGTTTGGTTTTTCATGTAGAAAAGAAGTGGATGTTTCTGGGGCATGCCCCCAAAGGGGTGATACTTTATCAGTTGCTGAGTACCTTTCTGTTCTGGCCTCCTTGTTTGATCCGAAAGGGTTTCTGGGACCATACACTTTTGAGGGAGAATCTGTGTTACAGAAGGCTTGGACCTCTGTAAAGAATTGGCATGATAGGGTACCCCCGGATGTAGATGTCATATGTCATGAATGGATGCGTGGGTTCCCTCATGCTTGAGAATGGAAAATTCCAAGGTGGTTGGGTCTTGATACCAACGCACCTATTGAGCTTCACATTTTTAGTGATGCATCCAAAAAGGGTTTTGGGGCAGTTGCTTATTTGAAGCAGGGCTTCTCCTCCAAGTGTTGGAAAATCTGATTAGAATTTCCGTTGTACAATGTATTCATGATTGAAGAATGTCCATACATGTTGGAAACTGCTATGGGACTCTCCCGAGTTCGTTTGCGAGGTCTAGTTTCGTCTGCGAGGTTAGTACTTCGTCTGCAAGGTTAGTACTTCATCTGCAAGGTTAGTACTTCGTCTGCGAGGTTAGAGTTTTGTCTGCGAGGTTAGGCTTTTGTCTGCGAGGTTAGGCTTTTGTCTGCAAGTGTCTGCGAGGTTAGTACTTTGTCTGCAAGGTTAGTACTTCGTCTGCGAGGTTAGTACTTTGTCTGCGAGGTTAGAGTTTTGTCTGCGAGGTTAGGCTTTTGTCTGCGAGGTTAGGCTTTTGTCTGCAAGGTTAGTTTCGTCTGCGAGGTTAGAGTTTCATCTGCAAGGTTAGAGTTTCGTCTGCGAGGTTAGGGTTTTTTGTTTGCGCGGAAATGTGTAATGTGTAAATTGTTTGCGCAGAAACGCGTAATGTGTATTTGGTCCGTACGGAATTGTGTTTTTTGTAATTTCATGTTTTCTATTATTCCTGATGTAAATTTTATGAAAAATACGCCTTTGGTTGAAGGTTCCAAGTAGCCATGACTCAGGCACGTTGGAATCACGTGATCACAGGGTGCGCAAGGGCCAGGGGTCATCCGCCTTTGCCATCACCCCTTGTTTTTGTAACCTGATTGAAATTGTGTCTTTTTTGTAATTTCATGTTTTCTATTATTCCTGATGTAAATTTTATGGAAATGCGCATTAGGTTGAAGGTTCCAAGTAGCCATGACTCAGGCACGTTGGAATCACGTGATCACAGGGTGCGCAAGGGCCAGGGGTCATCCGCCTTTGCCATCACCCCTTTTTTTTGTAACCTGATCCCTCTTGGAGGGATCTTGGAGAAGTTTGGGCTGCGCAGCTGCGTGCATCTGGTGTTTTGTTTGGATTTGGTGCATTTTTCCCAGCTGCAGCCACCTGGTGTTTTGTTTGGATCTGCGTGCGTTTCCAACAGCTGCACCCATCTGGTGTTGATTTGGTTTTGCGCGCGCTTTTCCCCAGCTCCAAGGAGCTTGGCGGCCATGACCGTCATTGTCCTGAGAACCCCGTCAGGGGTAAGATCAGAAGAAAACGCTCGTAACTTGGTTTCGACTTTCGCGAGTGTTTTAATTTTGTATTGTTGAATTTGTGAATTTCGTTTGTAACTAATATGTGAAATATGTGTATCTTTTTGTTTATAGACAGAAAAACGAGACTTTTGTCAAGATCTTGTGATTTATGTTTTGTAATAAAACGCTTGTAAATAGAAGACAAGTGTTTTAATTCAAAGTCACGAACTCGTAAAAACTGCTTCTACAAGCGACTGGCTGCTCAGGCTTACAACCTGGGATCTTCCTCGTCGATCACCAAGTTTCTGGGATGTTATCAGCCCCACTGGCAGCTTCATCGCCAGCTAAACAAGTTCAAGTAAAAAGTGTATAAATCTCAGTCGTCAGAGTACACCGAAGGCGTCACCAACTTAAAGTCTAAAGACGTGGAATTTAATAATCAAATTTGACCTAACCTAATTTAACCTAGCCTATTTACTTCCCATGAATGAACAAAGGAAAATAACATATTGCTTTATTTTACTGTAAACCTTTTCCAGCATTTGCACAGGGGAATAAACATCCAAGGAAAGACAGACAATGCGAGGCATTGGGATGGGGGCAGTTGGGATTTTTCCTGTTCCTCTCTGCATATACAGTGAGACCCCCACATGCTGGCACCTTGACCTGCAGGCAATTGGACATAGAGACACTTATTTACCTTGAAGAAAAAATTAATAAAAATGGCCCAACTTGAGGACACTGACTCCACATAGGGACATTTTGTGATAAAATTGCAGATACATTTTAGGCCAAATTACAAGAAACAGATACAATATTTCCATCCCAAAAATTGATGTCAGAAAAGTTTTTGGGCATTTCTATAACCAATAAGTTACATTCCAGTTAGCTAATTTAAAAAATTATTCCCAGCATAGAGGGACTGCTACTTTTTTTAACTTGAATGTTATTTTTGTAAATACCAACATTTTGAAGTACAGTGCAGAGATCAACTATTCAATGCTCCAATTGTTCTTATTGAGTTGAAAATGTATTCACTAATTCAAATTCAAGTGGCAAATAATTTTTTCAAGGAATTCTTAAGAATATTTCTCTCATAAAACACCAATTGAAAATTATATAATGTAAGTCTATTGGAAAACAAGAATCAACTTGGGGACACTTTTGATGCAGGAATTATGTGCACAAATTATGATGTCCACTTCTGGGGGGGGGGGGGTGTATCACTGTATAGTAACAAAGTCTATTTGAGTGTGACATCTATGGTGTGTGTCATGAAGACTTGTACGTATAGAGCATGCAGCAGCATGTGTAGTGCTCGGCTGTGCTCTTTGTATACTGCACTTGCATACCGTATACAAAACCCTGCTGAGTTATTATTGACATGAATCTCAATATCGCGGTTCTTGACCTTATTCGGCGCTCGGGTCTGGACTAGCTGAAAAATTTCGGGGGAGTTCGGAGCATTCTGGGCTTCTTTATTATGGCGAAACAGATATATACGCGGAGTGTCGGAGTCAACACCACGTGTCGCATCATATGCATCCTCGCAGATGGAAAAGCCTGCGAAAGGGAGATAAATTCACTCGAGTGCAGCAACTTCTCCTGCTGGACTGTACAGTACGCTGGAGACGAGACAGGATCCGTATAGCAGAAACTTGGAAATGAGATGAAGCCAGGACAGAGGAAACATAACATATAGAGACACTGTACTTTCTTTTCGCACGCAGGATGGGTCACTCCGCTGCTGCTTCTGGCTTATTCACGCACATGGCAGCGAAAAATTGCACCGTTGTCTGATATAGGCCTCGTCAACTTGACACTCGTCAAGAAGCAGCCGAAGCAAGGAGAATCCGAGGAGCTCTTTGGCATCGCAAGCGTCAGTTCACAAAATTTACAGCCATTTTTCTTTTTTTTGCGTTTTCTCCTTTCTTTTTCTTAAGACGTGGGAACAGCAGTTCTAAAACACGCGCTACACGGAAGGTAACGACGACCGTCAAGCACGAAGCCGAGGATACGATAACAACACCATGCGAGTCAGGTACAGAAGTGGAGGAATGGAGCTTTTGATTCGTGTTGGTAGGTGACGCTACACGAGCCTTTGGATCCGGTAGCCGTGGAAGCTTGTTGACGGAGGCCGCTGATCCAATTGGTCCAGTTTGCACAGCACCGCCGACAGCCACCGTTTCCGCGGCACCACGTCGTGTGGCGTCGACAGACAAGGAGAGCTGGTCAGCACCACTGGCGAAGTCCGCTGACTTCGCTGAAATCGTGATACAGGCACATGAATTATTCGTCATCAATCAGAGCATAGGCAGTATACGCGGCAACAACATCATCATCATGTCGAGCGTTCATCCGTTCATTATACAGTACTGTACCGTATTCATGAACGTCCAGTAGACATCATGGACATGTGGTCATTTCAATGGAGTGTCGTCATCGCGAAGTCAGCGAAAGGTATACAGTAACATGAAACTACAAAAATGCCTCTGCTCCAATAACTGTACTAAACTGTACTAACTGTACTTTAATGTACTAGTTGTAAACTTATTATTGATTCAGATTCACATCTGCATCATGTGTGTTTTAAATGAGCAAGTACTGTTGCCTTAATTCCATCTACAGTAGATGCGTGTAATACATCTGAGTATTTCACAGTATTTGCATAGTTCCCAGTATTGTGTATAAGAATTAATGCCCCTATGATGAGTCTGCTGATGTATGAGTGTGCTTTGCTTTTTTTTTATCCACATTGTAAAGGATCCTGCGTCATGCAAAGCCTATATACAAACTGCAAACTCCCGTTATAGTTGTGCCCTGGTTTACACTCATCCTGGGTTACAGATTTTCAGGTTATGGACTGGCTCCGTTTTTGGCAGAGTGCCGCAGCTTATGGACCGTAAACCAGTTTACAGACTGCAGTCCGTCTTCATAACTGAGAATTCATGAAAAATTCAATTTTTAAAAAAATTTTAAAATGTTTCATGGTGTTACATGCGCAAAGAGGTTTTCTAAATTTCTTTCTCAACACACAAAAAGCTGAAAATTTGATAGAATTACAACCAAAAATTTAAAAACATTTTTGAAAAATATACAAAAATCTCCAAAAAATGTTTTCACTGTTTGAATTTTAGCTGTTCCAATTTGAATCATTTTTCAATGAAAAAAAGTAACTTGTAAAACATCACTGTGCATGAAACCCAGTAGATACTTTTTGAGTTTCTTCCAAAGAAAAGAAATTTGAATGAGCTAAACTGAAAAGTTTGAATTCTTGTACCATTTTTCTTCCCAATTCATCAACTTTTAAAATTTGCCAAAAAAGAAATTATGCTCTGAAACATAAACTTTAACTGCATTAGAAGCCCCATAAAGTTCTCTACACTTCCCATTTTTCAAACCTTAAAAATAATTTGAATTGACACAGGTGAAAATGAGAATGTAAAACCTAGAGGGACTCTTCCAAAATTCAAGCTTTTTAAATCTGAAAATTTCCACAAAATTTTCTTCTTCACAAACTTTGAATTTTTAAAGGGATTGAATTCAAAGATATTTTTTCTGAATTTTCCTAGTTTTTTTTCATTCTAGCAAATTAAAAAATATATTAGCAAAAAACTACAATTTTTAAAATATTTGTTATTGTTTCTTTAATAAATGTTGTTCTTTTAACAATGTGCTATTTTAACTCTGCTTCTTTTGATAACCCTGCATTTTATGCACTTTCTATGCATGAAACAATGAAGAATACTGATTAGTCTCTCATTTACAATATATAAAAAATTCTAGTTTCTTGCTTCATTCCGCGATTAGCTAATTTTTTGAGCAGGAAGCATTCTCAAACTCTACACATCTGACCCCATAACATATTTAAGAAATAGAAAATTTCCTCCTCTGCCAAACTTTGAAATTTCAAAAGGAATGGAGTTGCAGACTTTTTTTCAATTTTTCATGTTTTGTTTTGAGAAATTTATCAAATTGATGAATTTACAACAAAAAATTGAATTTTTTTTTTTAAATTGAATGACTAATAACTGTTTCATTGCTTAACATTGAGGATGCATAAAGCGCAGGGGTTGTGCAGTTTCAGATTGTCAGTTTTTTTTTCACCACGGAGGAGGAATTTTCCACTCCTTTTTTTTTTTTACAAAAGGGCTTTCTTAAATTTCCTCCTTTTTCTTTCTTTTGGAAGCAAGGGGAATTCTCTTCATTAAGAAAAATAGGGGTTGTTTCCCCTTTTAAAGAAGTCGGAATTTTTTAAAGGGGTGTTTTTTTAATTTTCCCCTTTGCTTAAATAAGCTAGGAAGATTAGTTTTTGTGCATGGCTACTGCTCTGGGCCCAAAATATTTGGCTGAGCTATTTATTCATTTTGAATTAACCCTTTGTCGGTTCCAGGCCCTATACACACATTGTGTTAGCAAATAACTTCATTCAAGGGTGTACAACAACCATGAGGATGGACCGTTTACATAATTTACCATTGTTTCTTCGATTTTCCCCCTCCTTCGCCAACTTTTCCTCGTTTCAATTTCCTGCCTGAATGCCGAAGTCATAAAAATAAATGACCGGGACGAATTCGTTTGGATGTCAGTAATGTGCCCAGGAAAGTATCATTTCGGTACATTCAACTTAATGCCTCAGATGAGATACTGTATCATGAGTTCTTCTGCATTTCCCGGAAGGGGTTCATATAGTGAAGTGCCAGAACGTTTCCAAAATATCGGGGTCTTGAGGATGTCGCCACTGGCACAAAGAATTCCGGTGGAATACTTGGGGAACAGGCAAAATTCGGACGGGCTGATTCTGATGCCGCGCATCACCTGTCTTTCCTTGGATGGACATTATTTCTCCGTACAAATTCTGAAAAAGGTTTACAGTAACATTACTGCAATATGATATTTTCTTCTGTTTGTTCACTGTAAGTGAATAGGTTTTGTTGAATTTGGTAAGGTTAAATTTGGTTAGGTTAGGTTTGGTTAAATTTGGTTATTTAAGGTTTGGTTAAATTTGGTTAGGTTAGGTTTGGTTAAATTCAGTTAGGTTAGGCCAGGTTATCTTTATTTTGTTAGGTTAGGTTAGATTGAGTTAGGTTAAGGTAGGTTAGGTTAACTTAGATTTGGTTGGGCTAAGTTACATTAGATTAAGTTAGGTTAGGTTTGGTTGAGTTAGATTAAGTTAGGTTAAGTTAGGTTAAGTTAGGTTAAGTTAGATTAAGCTAGGTTAAGTTAGATTAAGTTAGGGTAAGTTAGATTAATTTAGGTTAAGTTAGATTAAGTTAGGTTAGGTTAAGTTAGGTTGGGTTTCACTAACCTGACCTACAGTAATTTTACTGTAAACCTTTTTCAGCATATGTATGGGGAATGTCCATCCAAGGTAAGACAGGCGATGCATGTCGTTGGGATCAGGGCGGGCAGGATGTGTAGGCCTGTAGTGCAGCCCAAGTATTGGACTGCACTGAGACACAATTCTGATGGTCCTTTCTTTTTTTCGCAGGAAAGGGAAAACTTGGAATGTAGCAATTTTATTCCGCGTTTTAAGTTTGTAAATTCGGCTTTCGAAAAAAAAAATATGGCAATTGTGAGTATTATCGAGATAAAGTAATTATCTTTCTTACTGATGGAATGACTATACAGTATAAGATATGCAGTCTCAGAAGAAGGAGCCCTGAAAATCAGGAAGTCCACATTCCTCTGGAAGCTATCGGCAATTTCTTCGATTCTCATCAGATCCCCGTTGCATGTGCAAAGGAAGAATGACTTCCATAAGGATGAATGACTTCAGTCTCCAGCACAATGCAGTATAAGAGAGAAAATGAAGAAAAATGGGTCTGATCCGCTACCCATACTGGATACACACATGCAGCAGTCTTTTATACTACCGAATTCAGAGATATTCCAAAAACATTCATTTAGCAAAAAATGAATAGATAAAACCTAAAAAGACCTTTCTGCTGGTGCGTGGAAAAATCATTGGAAACTCGAAGCAGGTGGAAGCACACCCGTGACGACTTGTTTTGCCTGGATTGAAGTGCAGTATGAAACAGTTGGATACAATACAATACTTGTAATAAGAAGTTATACGCTCTGCATAAAAGCTGAATAATCTTTTGAATGGAGATCAGTACAGGTGGTGCCCCACAATTTGACTCTAATCCATTGCTGGACTAAAGCGTAAAATTGCAAAGCAGTTCAATCACAAAGCAACATCAAATGTGATGTTTTCTGCATTGAGTTTGACATACTTGCCCATATTTCTGATGTGGGTCAAACTGCAGGGCATTGGTCAAATTGCAAGTCAACCTTCCAGCAAATTCAATCACAAAATTTCAGCATGGTCAATTTGTGGTAGGTCAAATTGCAAGGTACCACCTGCATTGCAGATGCAGTATAGCACATTGAAAATGCACTTCCACTTTACAGGTTGGCTTTTGCCATGCTGTACTTGTAAGTACTGTATATCCCTTGGACAGCAGAGGGTTCTTTCCCATTGCCAGTCAAAATTGGATTATTTTTGTATGCTGGGGCGTTTTAAGTTTTCTGAAGGTCAGAAAAGACCTTCCAGGGGGGCTTAGGCAGAGTCCGGATTAAGCGGAGAAAAGCACATTGCTAACCATAGCATTTTTTTTACTTCTCTCAAGAAATTTTTCTGTGCAAAAAGAAAAGAATGTCAGGATTTTTCCAGACTTCCTCCTCAAATCCCTGTTGTCCTTGTTTTATTTTCTTCCCTGAGGTGCAACAAAATTTTGCAAAAATTGTCTGACTTCGCCACCCAAGGGATATACAGTACTGTACGATGAAAAGCATTGCTCATTCCGGGAACTTGGGCAGCAGAAACAGACCAGATACTGTATAAGCAAGCAAAGAAAAAAACGGTAAAACCCCCTATAGAAGGGATAACTCCTAAATTTTCGCCGATCCACGGCGGGGACGACTTCCGGCGAACACACTGAACATCTTCTTCGGAAGAACTCCGAATAATTCAAATAATTGCTGCACTACCGTACTGTAGATTACTCATGTGCTCCACCTCACCTGTTGGAGCAGGAAGATCTCCTGACTGCGGCTTTTCCGCCGCGACAAACCGGCGTCCGACTTCACGACGCACATTTCCGGGTCGCTCCTGACGGCGGCCGTGTCCTGCACCTGGCCCACCATCCACAAGCCCCGTTCCACATCACAGACGTCCGGGGAGACGCCTTCATTCTCTTCCCGAACACCATCGGTCAGTTCCGGCGTCGGACGTGCAGGCGGTCGTCTTTCCTGTTGCTCCAGCACCAGGACGCCGCAGGATTTCGAGCGCCGACTGATGAATGCCTGACGCCTACTGCGGTTCGACTTGTCAACGATTTCGTTCAACCGGGAACCGGATGCAGGCGGAGACCTGTTTGGATACAACAGGATGAAGAAAAGAAACCCTCCCAGCAGCAACTTTAACCAATGCATCTACAGGTAGGTAGTGTACCCTGCAATCTGGCCCTAATCTGTTGCTGGACTAGGGTTGGCTCAAAAATTGGTCAAATTGGGAGACAATGTAAAATTAAGAAACAGCAGCAAAAGCGCAAGAAAAGCAGCTGAAGGAGATTGAATTGCAAGGCAGACATCATATTGTGAGTCAAGCTACCCAGCAAAGTTGGCCATTTTATTGTGTGGGATGGTTGAATTCTGGGAGGTCAAATTGCAAGGTACTGAACCACATTTACTCTGCAGTATGCTGAAACTGGATGCCTGTGGCTGAACCTAAACCATTGCAGAGTGAACTGGGTTGCCATGTTCAAAAGGACTGTTATACTGTATAGTTGAATAATTGCTTGGACAATTTTGATGTACAGCATATTGAACAAATTGAGCAACTATACTCAATGAAGAAAGTCATATAAATTGCGCTATAAATTCACTGCAATTCCTCTCCCAAAAAAGGCAAATGTTGTACTTCTCTCTAAAATAATCAGGGAGTTTTATATGAACTCTTGTACGACTTCGTCCTTTAAAATTACATCCATGCTTGCTTTTAACCTTCCCGGACCATTTTCATGTCAAAAGGACGGTAATTTTTTGTGTTTGTTCTTGCACGATTATTCTGGAAGCTGAAAAGGGAGAAAACCTTTTTATTTATCATGCAGGTTCTCCAGCATATTGGCACTGTCAGAGAAACAGTCTCTGTACATCCACACCTCCGGGTCACATTGCATTTCCCCATCAGATGAAAATGAACAGTATTATAAAACCAGCATTTAGACATCTTTCCCACTTCTCTGGATGGTCCATATCTAAACATGTTTTTATCCTTCATCACATATAGATGACCTCTACAGGCTGTTGCTTTAATTTGATTCAAAAGTCAATTCAGTCATCTGCATGCATGACATGCAAATCATGCCATGGGTGAAAAAATGGAAATCAGAATGGGAAAAATTATCAAACAAAACTCCCATGTTAATCCTGTGCTAGGAATGCAGGGAAAAATGCAACACATTTTTTCAGCCAAAACTTTCTGCTGTTTGAGAAGAAATAAACACATTCACCAGTACACTTTTTAAGATGGTTCAAGAATTAGGCTGTTTTCCCCTCAGTACTCATGGGCTCAACATTAAAAAAATTAGTGGGCTTACCACCAAAAGAGTTCAGCATATAAGCTGAATAATCTCTTTTTAATTCGCATGAGTACAGGTGGTGCCCCACAATTTGACCCTACTACATTGCTGGACTAGGGCAAATTGCAAAGCAATGTCAAATGTAATGTTCTCTGCATTGTATTTGAAATTTTGTCCATCTCTTTGGGTCAAACTGCAAGGCCTAGGTCAAATTGAGTCAACTGCCCAGCAAATTTAATCATCAAATTGCAGGATGGCCAATTTGTGGAAGATCAAATTCTGAGGTACCACCTGCGTTGGTGATGTAGTATAACACATTGAATATGCACTTCCACTTTAAAGGTTGGATATTGCCATCCTTTACTCGTAAGTATATACTGTATAATTGAATCTTATTACAATAAATCTCATTCTAAGCAAATGCATTGGTTACAACAAAGTTGTTTTTTACTGTCCCTCCTGTTCAGTGGTGAACATTTTAATTTATAATGCATTTCTTGCTCATCTAACAATGCTTGTTTCTGGCTCATAAAATACTGTACAGTGAGACCCCAAGATGCGGACATAATTCCATCAAGAGTGTCCCTAAGTTGATTCTTGTTTTCCCGTAGACTTATATTATAGAACTTTTAATTGGTGTTTTATGAAAGAAATATTCTTCCAAATTCCTTGAAAAAATTGTTTGCCACTTAAGTTTGAATTATAGTGAATAAATTTTCAACTCAATAAGAACATTTGGAGCATTGAATAATGTATTTCTTCACGGTGCATTGAAATGTTGGCATGTACAAAAATAACTTTTTAAGTGAAAAAATTAGAAGTCCCTTTATGCTGGACGTAATTTTTTTAAATTTGCTAAATGTGGGGTAAAATGGTGAGAGAAATGCCCAAGAGCTTTTCTTACATCAATTTCATGGTTGGATATATCCGTTTCTTGTAATTTGGCCTGAAATTTATTTGCAATTTTATCACAAAATGTCCCTATGTTGAGTCAGTGTCCTCATGTTGGGGCTATTTTTATTAATTTTTTCTGGAAAATAAGTATACCTATGTTGAATTGTCGGCAGTTCAAGGTGTCAGCATGTGGAAGTCTCACTGTAACAGTATAGTCTTGTTGCAATTTGTTGCTTTAGAATAGTACAACATCAGTGTATATAGGGACCATTGCTGACCTCACAAGGCCCGAGTCCTCCAGGAAGGACTGTCGGCGCAGCAACCAGCCGCGCTTCCTCTTGTCGATGGCGGCCGACACGAGCCCGGCGGCGCCCGAGGCCCTCCGACTGCCGCCCCCGCCGCCGCCGCCCTGCTGCAAGTGCTGCTGGAGGTGCTCCCTGGCACGGATCTCCTGGTGCACGTCGCTCTGGTACAACTTCCGCCTCACGGCCTTGAGGAACGAGTGTCGCACGCTCCGGCTCTTGACGCCGTACACGAACGCGTTGGCCGCGGACGCCAGGGACTGGAGACACCTCGCCGCCACCGCGGCGCCCTCGGGTGCCGGCTGCCCGGCCGCCGTCTCGTACGTGGCAACCGCCACTTGCGGCCAGTACACCACGCACAGCGACCCTTTTCCGGGAGGACGAGAAGGAGGGGTAGAAAAATGAGTGATTTATTGCTCATTTTACAAGGACGATGCCGTCGACCTATACACTCGTCTACATACGACAGCATTTCGTTATACTGCTGAGAAACATGCTGCTGATGGGGACACAGTTCGAGATGAGTTACCTCACTTCATTTCGACAAAATCAAGGACGAAGAATGTGCCAATTGCTGCCTGGTTTCCATGCAGCTGCATGGCTGCAGGATAACTAGATAAAAGGACTGTAAATGCATTCCTCAATACCGTACATGCAGGAATGCAGAGAAACAGAACGAACATGCAGTCGGAACTCCAACTCCACTTCTTCATCATTCTGTCTGGCAAAATGCAAGAAGCTTCCTATATCCCTTAGAGCTGCTCAGGACACAATGCACTCAATGTGCATTCACATGTATACAGTACAATGGTTGGATTGTAAGTCTTGAGACTTTTTGAAATACTGTAGATCCAACGGATTGTCATCAATATTTTTTTTTGGACTGGCATATAGCCCCTTCATTTGGCAAATTTTGAGTACTGTTCAACATACTGCCCACCGATTTCAATTCATTATTTTTTATGGGATGAATCCAATGATCAAAACATTGCCAAAAATTGAGTTCCCATACTGCAGTTGATTATGCTGCTGCTCTTTGACAGCAAGAATGAAGCTGTCCCTCTCCTCAGAATCAAGCTATTTCAGGTCCTTTGTGACCATTTGGAACAACCTGCACAAGTTACAAGGTGCCAAATCAACTAACAGCAGAAGTCAAGTTTTGGCAATGTTTTGATCATTAGATTTATCACATAAAAAACATTGAAATCACCAGATAACATGCTGAATAGCATTGAAATTTTGCCAAATGATGGGGATATGGAGTAAAAATTTGTTTTGGAATTGTTCAAACTCTGTTCAATCTATTTCAAAAAGTCTCCAAACTTATGAACAAACTCTTGTAGTATGGCGTTACTTTTTGTCAATGCACACCTGAAAATTCATGTTCTAGAGGCCAGGTTAGTAACTGGGGATAGGTTTTGTTGCTCAGTTTTATGCAACTTACAGGATCGGGCAGTCATGACTGTAGGATCTGAAAGCATAATGAAATTGCAATAAGTATGACAGATATAAGAACTGAAAGTCTGAAACATTTTCATCATGTTGGTCATGCATTCTTGGTGCTAATTCAGCATACTGCACATTACATTTGTGACGTACTAGTGGTACCTAGCAATTTTACCCTAATCCATTGCCAAACTAGGGTTGCATTCTGAATAAGTTGAATTGTGAGACACTCTGTAAAATTTAAAAATGTAAGTTAAGAACACAAAGAAGTGGCCAAAGCAGCTCAAATTGCAGGGCAAGGGTCAAATTGCAAGTCAACCTTTTGGCAAATTCAACCATCAAATTGCAGGATGGTTACATTGTGGGAGATCAAATTGCAAGGTACCACATGTACTAATTGTCTCTTGTCAGTCCCAGTATAAATGGCCCATCAAAATAAAAAAGGTAGGTCAAAAGTGGGTTGTCTCAGTGCTGCACAGAGTGAGATACTTCTGACATTTGCAAAACTTAAAAAAAATTTGTTTGCACAATGTTTCAAGCATTTGCTCATCTTTTCAGATTTTTAAGGCATATTGTATTATGAGGAGTTGAATCTTTCTATTGATGGCCAGGGTACCCACTCATTTTATAGTAGGCTGAGAATCTGTCATGAGAGTTTTCCATATGGAATTCTGCTGTTGTTCGGAATACTGTGTTTTTCATAACTGGAAAATATTGTAAAATTTTTGGATGATTCGATTTCTTGTGATGAAAAAGGAAAATCCTTTCCAGAGAGTGTGTGTGGCAATGGCAATGCGGCAATGATATTCCTAATTTTACTCACCATCCCATGCCAGCAAGTATTTTTGTGCAATACAAGTAGTTTTATGAACAGCTTGAAGTTTAATTTTGATTCTGAAATCTTTAACTTGTTACTTTCAAGTTTATACAATACTTAAATTAAACCATATTACAGTACTTCAATGAAAACTGGGCAATATTCCTCCAGTTGGCGACTGTGGAGCAATCTGTAAAGCCAAGTGATGCAGAGTAGTGTTGATAAGTGCAGAGTTGGTCCTTGCAAGCCCTCATATGGTGCTGGGACACTATCTGCTGGGTTCTTCAACGTCCTGAGGTTGAGCCAGGTTTGTTGCTGATACATGCAGACAAAATGAAAGTGAAATTTTGTTTGAAACAAGTCAACCAGAATGCAGCCTGAGCCAATTAGCCCATGTTGATCATTCTCTCAGGGAATATACTCTTGTTCTTGAATCCCCTCAGTTATGTTTAATGGAAACATTATTAATTGCTACTCCTGTTCATCAAAAATTAGCAAAACAGTTCCCAAAAATTGATGAAATTGAGATGCAGAAAATAACTGTGCAGAAGGAAACCGCAAAGAATCCTAACTTTTGACAACAATGAAGCTCATTATAAAAAGCATGGAACAAGAGCAAGTCTAGCTAAACTGTGCAAACCTGATGGAAGAACTCTGAAGAAAGAAGCAGAAAATTAGCCTCTCATGGATTATGAATTAAAGCATTTTAAGAATTTAAATTTTTTCTTTACTTTTTTTTGATTATCAGAAGCCTAACTTGCTCAAGAGTTTTAAAAACAATTCTTAAATTTTTCTAGAGAAATGCTGGAAAAGTGTCAATATCTTGAGTCATTCTCAACATTTCAGGACCTTTTTTTCTTTCTAATGAAAATTGTCCTCAAGCTAAATTGTCCATAATAGGTCGTGGTCCTGGTCTCACTGTATTTCAAGAAAACATTCCAATGAAAAAAAATACGCCGCATGCTGCTCCATCACCTTTGGAAGTTCATTGAACGAAATTCTGGGCATGATGCACATGCTCAAGTATCATCATCACCATCATCATTAAGGCTTGTATGAATAGTGTTGAAGATGACTGTACTGTATATTTCACTACATCACCATGACGCACATGCACCAAGACACAAGCAGCCTAGATGCAGCCAACAGCAGGCGAGCACCGCGTCATCAGCATGCAGCTATTGTAAAAGTTTTGTAGAAGCCACGTCATCGAGTGCTACTGATGCGCATCGTAGTAGCCACGTATGCATGATGGGAGAATCTTGCAGGATGAGACTCATGCGGCTTTGGTACAGCAAAACCGTAATATGTAGAGCCCAATGTATTCTCATCGTCCTCGACCCAAAAATCCTGGCCGCATCCTATACGGCCCACGTCCGAAAGGCAGAGCGGATCAAAGCCCCGAGGCTGCAACAACATCATGCAGTTGCTGGACGAATGACGCCGGGTCGAAATACGACGGGGAAAGGATGTCAGTAAATGAAAGAGACATGCACAGCAGCTATACGACTGATGCCGCTGTCTATACGCCGCATTACATATGCCTACCGCGAGTCGCGCACAGCAACGGCACATCACGCACCATATTCGTACTACAGGAGGGCAGGAAATGCAGGCAGGCAGGCAGGCAGACGAGACTGTCTCGCACAGCATTCCTCGGCGGAATGCAATCTGTCGACAGCGCAGCTACAGCCAGGCAGCTCATTCCGCGCCTGTCACACGCTGGTCGTCATCGACTAAACAAATATACGGGCCTGCAGCATGCTGATGGGATTCGGAATCGCGTCGGGGGAAAAGAACAGGCTCACCTACATGCATCCACCACATGCACCGGAGGCCCTCACCTAGGACGTGGCACACCGTCATGGCGGCGCGCTTGGCTCTCCCGCGCGCCAGCTGGAACGGCTGGTGCGTGATCGTGGCGTGGGCGGAGATGGTCACCTGGAAGATGGCGCTGGCGATGCAGTGCCGGTGGTACCTGCACGACCGAGAACCGAATGAATGAGTGGCTGCATGGTTGTACGTGTGCTGGACGCCAGGAAGGACGTGTCTATAGATTCGTATACATGAACCTTCACAACGCACGCCGTCGGATCGACAGCCGTGAAGATCATAAATGCATCATGCAGAATCCAACCATATACACTTCTACTGGGTATACACGGGATTACGCGCACGCACTATGCTACTAGAATACTTGCTGTACACATCACTTGGATCAAAAGAGTTATATGCAGTGCATATTGCACATGCACACCTCCATACTGTATGATCCGTGGGAAAAACCAGACTCCTCAGCACACGGGATGCATACAATCAATTTAACACGACTCCTCAGCGGAATCGCCGTTTGAAACCTTTCCATTCGGCAATTCCATAAATTTAGAGTAAAAAAGCATTCCTAGAGCATCAAGGGATCCTTATTGTTTCTTTTGTTTCGGAGGGAGAACTGGACGTTTCGTGGGGAGTTATTAGGGTCTACAGTTGAAAGGGAATTTCCCAAGTAACAAAAGTTTGAAGAAATATTTTAAACGACTTTGAGCCAATCTGTAGCGTAGAGTTTGCATATTATTATTAGTACTGTACTTCACCTTGTCTACACATTACAAAAACCCGCGCGCACAGCAAAAATGCTGAATTGAAAAATTGACTTATTGCACAATGAAAACATTTCATGCAAAAAAGTTTTGCCCAAACTTGAGTACATTTGAAAAAAATTGAAATACAACTATAAGGGCTTCAAAAAATGGGAAAAAATATACGAGAAGGGCATGGTTTTGACTCTTGCTTTCCTTAGTTCATAAGATTCAGAAATTTTAGAAAAAAAAAACTTGCAAGGATCCCAGAATTGTATTAAAATAGTTGTCAATTATACGTGTGCAATTTTAAATAAAATATAATAAAAAGCAGGGGGATGCATCGCTTTCAATGCTTTTCTGGCTTTTTGGTGAGAGTCTAAATTAATTCACATTATTTTGCCATGGAACCAGAACAGAGATTTGAATACTACAATAGAAAAATTCTGCATAACAAAACACATCCAGGAATGGATCAGTTTTGTCATGCTGGGGTTGGTTTGAGAGTAAAGGACGTTTGATTCATAGTATGCGTTGAAACTGTGTGTCAGCTGTTCTTGAAAAATGATCAGATAAACACTTGCTGACTACTTTAGAACATTGAGAATAAAAGGGAGCGCTGAAATGCCAAGAAAATATTTTATTGTGAGCAGCTTTGAATCAACAACTGTCCATCTCCCCTTACCATATCACAGTGAGACCCCCACATGTGGACACCTCAACCTGTGGACAATTCAACATAGGGACACGTTTTTCTAATAAAAAAATTAATAAAAAAGTCCCAACATGAGGACAACACTGACTCAACATAGGGGCATTTGCTTCTAAAATTGCGAATACATTTCAGCCCAAATTACAAGAAACAGATATTGCCAACCCTAAAATTTATGTCAGAAAATTTCTTTGGCATTTTTCTCACCAATTTACCATCCATTTTGCTAGTTGAAAAATATTACCTCCAGCAGAGAGGGACTTCCTTATCTCTTTTTCACTTGAATATAATTTATTTTAGAGAGAATGCAAACATTTCTATGTACTGTACAGATGAGGTATCAGTATTCAATTCCCCAAATGCCCATAGTGTGTTGAGATATATTGATTGGAATCAGTTTAAATTCGGAGTCACATTTTTATTTTCATGGAATTATGATGAGTATTTTGTACATAAAATACCAATTAAAAATTATATAATGTACTGTAAGTCTAAGGGAAAATGAGACTTGACTTACTGACATTTTGACTTATAGGGACACTCTTGATGCACCAATTATGTCCGCATCATGCGGTCTCACTGTATTGTGTCCAGCTGTATGCAGTAATGCACCAGCATTGTAACAGAGAACATGCAGTGTTTGTATGTATCATATACGGCATGCAAACAAAAGATAAAAGTCCGCGGATGCTTGAAACAAGATGAGAAGCATCGTAAAAAAAAACGTACCCTATGTACACAAATAACACCATGCCAAGATTTTATGGTTGCTACAGCTAATTTTTCGTGGAAATTCACCGGGCGATCCGGTAGATCTTGAAGTTGCAGCCGAGGACCAGGAGACTCGGCAGGACGACGACGAGCGAGTAGAAGAGCAGGGCGAACCAGCCCGACACGTTGCAGAAGGGGCCGTCGAAGGCCGGCGCCAGTCCCACGAGCGGCGCCGCAGAGACCAGCGCCGCCGCAGCCCAGGCTCCCGCGAGTCCCGCCGCCAGCCGGACTCGTCCGGGCCTCGCCTTGTATCCCAACGGCTCCACGATGGCCACGTACCGCTCCAGGTTCAGTCCGCAGACCGTGAAGAGCACGACGGCCTGGAGCGAGGACTGCCAGAAGCCCGCCACGGCGCACACGCGGGGCGCCACCAGCGTCACCAACTGCGTGAGGGACACCACCAGGTCCGCCACGCCCAGCTGCAGCAGCAACGCGCCGTGCACCGCGCTCATCTCCTCCATCACAACGAAACCAGCAAGCAGAAGGAATGAATCACTTGCTTTCGTCCTATTATTCTCTGTGCAGCAATACTGATCTGTACTGTACTGTAAAGTCAGACATGATTAAAATGCGACGGTTGACACGTTTCCGCGCGGGCTTCATTATACTGTACCTCGAGCTCCCAGCAGACAGTTAAAGGACCTTTCCTAGCAGGTTATTGGACCTCTTTTTCTCCCTCCTTATTGGTAAACTACTGACGGAGGCTTATCTTCTTTTCTTTCGTATTGTTTCCCTGGCAGGATGGATAAGGGGCACAGGAGCGGTATAGGAGTGATGTTCAGGGTTTTTCATTGTGCCACAACTTATTAGCACAATCACAATCCTTGCAATTGTGATTGGGCAATGCATTTTCCCCCTCATTGTGATAGTGATTGCAATTATGCATTTATTTTTTAAGGTTTGAAATTGTGCTTTTGATTGGGCTAAAACTGATATAATCACAATCACAACTATAGTACAGTACGACCCCCGCGCGGGCCCATAGGCGCCGCCATCATGGCCCGCGCAAAAGGCCTAAACGCGACATCGACTGTTTTTTCCACTTTGTTACGCCGCACCAATCAGAACCGGCTGACGCAATGTACGCGCGCGCTTGCGTCAACCGACTCACGCCCGTACCCCTGAGGCCTGGTAGAGCCTCACTTTGTCTATAGCTCCCGAACCGAGCGGTCGTCAACCGAAGCAGTGCCTTTCATCGTGCGTACTGTGTATTTCAGTATTGATATTAGGCGATGGGCTCACTCACGTTATTTGGCGATGGCAACACAAGCTGAGTCACATTCACAATTAGGTTCTTCCGGTCGCGGACTAACACACACATCTCTGATCTATCAGAATGACGGGGCTCAGCCACGCGAAACGAACCATGGCGACCCCAAACGAGCGTATTGTGCAAAGTGAGCTGGACGAACCGTCCCCAAGCCCCTCAAGCGATTCCGCAGCGGCGTTCGCCCAAAACTACCGCAACAACAATCAGTGGGCACACCTCATGCTCCCAGCAATACTTGTCATAATTATAATCCGCTACCCGAGTGAGTGCAATAAACCGCTACCGTTGTGTTCTACTCAGTGTATGTGTTAATCCAAGAAGGCCAGCGCCTGATTGTGTGTGTAGAGACGAGAAAGTCTTACTGGGGGCTCAGCCGCGCGAAACGAACCATGGCGACCCCGTTGCTCGCATAACACGTTTCACTCGACCTGCTTGGCAGGGGTTCGGGGAGTTCGCTAAGGCGTCGCCGCAAGCGGGTTTTGATGGCGTTGTTGTTAGTCACCCGTGTGGAGTACGAGGGTCGTTATGGATCGTACTGTGCGTCCGCACAAATCCCTCATATGGGAAATCGCGATGAACTCGTCGCAGCGCTCCAAGCGCGAGGCGTACAGCCCATCAATGTGCTCCAAAACACAACACCGGGGCCCTCAGCCACCCCTTCAGCCGCAGAACTCACGGCGAATATAACCGAAACGCTGCTCCGACGCCGGGCAGACTTTCCAAAACAAGCCCAAGGAGAGGACTTCGAACTCTATCTCCGACGACTGGAGATCGCTTTCAGTCACGACGGAACATCGAACAACACAAAAATCGACTGCCTGATCGGGCACACGATACCCACAGTCGCGGCGGCCGCCCAACGACTGTACGACGAAGGCTATCACAATTACGACGACATCGCCGAGCGGCTCAAAATACAATTCGGGCTCTCGCCCTTCGAACATTTCACGCGATTCCTCGCCCTACGCCCACTCGAAGACGAATCATGGGCACAGTTCGGGAATCGCCTACGATGCGAATACATCCGCTATCTACCGCTCAGCGCAAACGACGTACCCGGGCAAGAGAAATCCATCACAGCTGCCCTCATCGGGCAACTCCTAGCAATCACCACCGGAGGGCTCCACGCCCACCTCTACTCTGCGAATACATCCGCTATCTACCGCTCAGCGCAAACGATGTACCCGGGCAAGAGAAATCCATCACAGCTGCCCTCATCGGGCAACTCCTAGCAATCACCACCGGAGGGCTCCACGCCCACCTCTACTCCAAGGCGACCGCCGATCGTACCCTAACATGGGTCAACTGCCTGGCATACGCGGACGAATACCGCCGCATGCACCCAAATACGCCACGGGCATCACCCGCGCCACAAAACCAACAACAAACCAACCGCCGACCAAAAACGACGGCGTCCGGCGTGCAAAAACATTACTGTGACCATCACCAACGGTACGTCCTACACACGACCGCCGAATGCTCGCTCGGGCAGAACCCACGGCCCAACACGGCCACGGGCAATCAATCCCCACGAAACCTGCAATCGTGTACCTACCATCCAGGCCGCCTAGTCGCACACTCGACGGCGGAATGCCGAAACAACCCGGCCAACCAGGTAAACTCGCCAAACACACAAACAGTCCAGCCGACTAAATGTGTACAATGCGGACTTACAGGTCACACAGCGGCAAACTGCCCGAACCAGGGAAACGCCAAGATCGGGCAGTGACGGCTGTCCTCTGCTCGATCCCCCAAGATACAGACGACAGCCTCACGATCATCATCGGTATCAAGAACAAACGCGTTTCAGCGCTGATCGACACTGGTCCACATTCTCTCTTGGTTCAGCCAATTACTCCGCGACCTTTTTTCTCCTCGCGAATGCGAGATACCCCATAATCCTCGGCCTCGACACACTAAAAAACCTCCCGTTCTGTGTAACACTCGACGGCCAGCGAATCTTTTCCGGATTCCAGACTATCAAACCCATAAACGAGGTACCACAAGCCGAACCCGGCGACGGTATTACGTTCGTAAATGGCTCTCCCGCAGAGCAGCACGCAATCACAAAACTACTGACCAAATACAAAGACAACATCTTTCAATGGTCAGGGAAACACGGCCTGTTCCCCCAACACGTCGCATCCATCCCAACGAACGGCCAAGACCCCGAGCCACCGAGACGCATACGGCTGTCGCCCGACAAGATACCAGCGATGACAGAAATTCTCGCCAACTATACCAAAGCTGGCATCATCGAACCGGCACAATCCACGGTCAACTCACCGGCCTTTCTGACGCCAAAAGACGACAACCCGAACGCACCGGCAATCCGAAGATGGCGACTAGTCGAAGACTACCGCGAAATCAATAAAGTCATAATCGCAGACAACTACCCGATGCCGGTAATCCAAGACATCCTTGACGCTCTGGGCAGACAAAACGCATACTTCTGCTGCCTGGACCTGCACTCTGGGTATCACCACATACCCATAGCCCACGGCGATCGCCACAAAACCGCATTCACCACCCCCACCGGGCAAATGCAATATACAGTCATGCCGTACGGCCTGAAAACCGGCCCAGCCATATTCCAGAGGACCATGGAGACAATACTCCGCCAACACCTCTACAGCCAATGTCTCGTATATATAGACGACATCATCGTCTTCGGCGCTACATTCGACCAAGTGCTACAGAACCTCTCTGAAGTGCTACACACCCTAGCGACCGCAGGGGCATCCATCGACATCGCCAAGTCCAAGTTCTTGGCAGAATCTATTCATTTCCTGGGACACATTGTCGACAAAACCGGGACGCGACCAGCCGAGGAACACCTCAACGCAGTCCAAGCGTTTCCCAAACCCGAAACCACAAAACAAATGCAAAGGTTCCTGGGACTCGCAACGTACCTGCGCTCGCATGTACCAACAAACTTTGCAAACCTCGAAAAAACCCTTCGAAACACGATACCGGTGAAACCGGCCACGGCACTCAAATGGACACCCGAAGCGGATGCCACCTTTGAGGCCCTGAAACAGGCGATCGCCAATGCCACACGCCTGGAACGGTTCGAACCACAGTGGGACACAGAAGTCCACTGCGACGCCTCGGCGACCGCCATCGGCGCAATCCTAGTGCAGATAGACCACGACGGACAACCACACATCATCGAGTACGCCAGCCGAGTCCTAACACCGGCAGAGACCCGCTACTCTAACACCCAAAGAGAACTACTAGCGGCAGTGTGGGCGACCATCAACAAATTCCGACACTACGTCGAACACCGACAATTCAAAATCGTCACCGACCACAAGGCATTACTGGGGGAATTAGTCGACACCCGACTCATCGCTCTCCGCCTGAAACTGGAACCATTCCAGCATACGTTCGTACACCGACCGGGCAAAACCCTCACAGGTCCAGACGCACTCAGTCGGATCCAACTGAACAGCATACAACTCCGCGAAGTACCCGATCCAGGGCAGCGCGCAGAAATAATCGACCAATATCATGCGGAAATGGGCCACACCAACTGGAAAAAAACCTTCGATACAATTCGCAAAAGATTCACCTGGCCCGGCATGCGCACCGACATCTTCCATCATGTCCTGCAATGCGCCAAATGCTTCACGTTCAACTCGGCGACCGCCGCAATCGGAACCAAACTCATACCTGTCCCGCCTGCAGACAAACACGACCGTTTAGGCGTCGACTTCTGGGGACCTTTCCCCCCATCCACAAACGGGAACCGTTATGCCATAGTCGCCATCGACTATTACTCGCGCAGAGTGGTAACAACACCCGTCAAACGGGCAACAGCAAACGCCCTATGCAGTTTCCTAGCAGACGTCTTCGCGCAAATGGGGACATTCGAAATTATCCACTCGGATGGAGCAGCGGTGTTCAACTCAGCGCCGTACAAAAGATTCATTACAGCAAACCAAATTGCGTCCCACATCGCCCAGCCATATCATCCAGAAGGCAACGGCGCTTGTGAGAGAGCTATCAAATCGCTGTCAGCAATAATAGCCAAAACAGCACCAACACCCACCACGTGGGATGAAGTCTTACTCGACGCAGCGATCGCATATAACCGTACGCCCCACACGGCTACCGGTCTACCGCCCATCGAACTCTGGCACAAAAAGCCAATCCCCACCCCCGCCGACATCAAATTTGAGTTACCCACCAGGGACATATCCCAAGAACTCAAACTAGTCAGAGCACGCCACAAAAAATACCGCAAACGGTACATA